ATGTTACGGTAATATGGCAAAAATTATCGTTTTGTCGAGTAGTTTTTAGCGGTATAACAGACAAAATAAAGAAAAGTAAAGATGATGCACAAGAAACCTTCTGTGTAATCTCCTTGACTACATCAGACCTTTTATAGACTTCTACCTTCAAGCTTTGTGGCGTAAAGTCCCCTCAATTTCTGCTCTCTCTGCCGTGCTCAAAAGGTCATCACACAACTGGCGCCATCGTCAATACGCTTGACAGTTCTCTCTTATAGCTATTAACATCCTGCACCAAAACCAAGCGGTGAAACCGCCGGATCTGCAAAAGTTCCATTAACCGTGTTTCATCTCGCGTTTGCCCCTGGCGGCCGTCGTTTCGATCTTCGATGTTCGATCTTTGATAAATTACGGAGTTTGATTCTTCTGGTAGAGTTTATTGTCCCCGGTAAATTGGCTACTTCCATCTTCACCTCCATTGCTTTAATGATGCTGATTATACTTTGTTTTACCGGGCTCGATGTTTGCACTTTGCGTCAGCGCAGCTAACAAACGAGTCGCACCCAATATTCCTCCAAAACTCACTAAAATTGTTTTATGAGCCCTCAGTATCCTTAAGTCAGCGGATGCACTCCAAAACAAACCGCTTGGTAACCTTGAATATTTCTGGCCAACATATGGAAGTCAGAACAAACCGGAACGAATGGAAAAAGAAGATCTCTTGCAGTAGCTTTGTAACCAATTCCGTCAACAGATTTTCTGCCAAACGCTATCGATAAAGGAGCTATATCCCACTTCGCTGAATTGTCATACCAGGCATGAGTTTACCGAGCCACAGTTCGAACTCATACACGCGACGCCACCTGTTCTTAATTTATCTGATATTATTGTGGATATTTATTTTTTGGACCGTAACTATGCCTGGATATTTTGCACGTCCCCACAACAGCTTTTTACCCTTCAGCGTCCTGATGATCTGTCAAGATTAAACCATATTTTACCATTTGCTTCGCCGACTGATTCATGAGAACTCTCGGTTCTTCCAAGTCCTCGTAGAGGTTTAATGAGATGTTTTGACTGACAATCATGAACGTCGAGGAACTGGAAACCTTATCTCTAAGTACCGATAATTTGTTATTTCTGCCATTATCGATAAAGCAATTAAAGAACTTTGAGTACCCAGTGAGAGTGGGTAACACTTGATTTCTGCACTTAAACTAAACAAGGTAATTTACAGACCCGAATAAATTAAAAATTATGTTTGTGCTTGCACACCGTGCAATTTTTTTAAAAACTTGAAAAAAAAAGTTATCGTATTTTATTTCACTGATTTAAAAGTCATCGTAATAACATAATCAGAAAACATAAAAAAAAAAACATGTACATTGAGCAGTGTGTGAAACGTTATAATTATTATTTCCGTTTGTGGTTTTTTCTAATTATTTACTCCTGCCCTGAATAGAATGCTTTTGTATAAACCTTTACATTTGCACATTATTCCTCCACTACATCCTTGGAGTCTAAGACTATATTATAAATCTGTGGATTTAAAGGGTTATGTATTATCTTAGTAGAAAAATTTTTATAATTTTTATATTGTATAAAAATTATACTGCATTTTCACTAAAACCTTTCCCTTAATTAGATAATGTGTCATCCTGTCTGTTGTAAAGATAGGGTGAGAATTGTTGATGGAAATGCTTATAAAATGGTATTGTTAATTTGTAAATAATTTAAATAGTAGCATTTTTTTCCTATACATGTACTTGATAATCATCAAGATTTTTGTAAGCTCTGGGGCCTTAGGAAACTATTATTTTTGTCTTGTCAAGGTCCTTGAAAGAATCAAAGAGTGTTTCTATCTTTAGAGTTTCTTTTATAGACATGAGCTAATCAAGTCATGTTTTAGTGCACAGACATTTAAGGGTGTATAGCATGCAAAACCAATTTTTTGTTATCATTATTTGCAAATAATATCATCATTACAGAAACATGCCCTTTGATAATTGTTGCCTATGAAAAGTGGGTACTCCATTAAGGCTTTGCAAGCAAAAATGAGGTTTCAAAGGCTACACCATGTACCACTGTTTTCGGTCTCTTATGAACTTTATAGTGACTAACAATTATTTTCACACTTTCCAGAAAAGAAACAATGCAGGAACAATACAAGTAGATTACCATTGTTTAAGGTGTTGGAATGTTTGCCATTTCTTCAGAAAAGAAAATATTTATGCAAAAGAGGCATTTTTTTTTTTTTGCAACCACGCTTAAATTAAAGCATCCCAAATTAGGTAGTCTTCTTTAATCAACTCGATGGCAAAACAGCTAATAAGAAACCAAAACTCCTCTTCACAAAAATCAGTCAATGAATAAGATTGAATAAAATGTTTAGAAGCATTTATTACGATCAGAAGCGGTAGATGTGTAGTTGTTTTCTTAAGACAGATTAGACGGCTGTTCAGGTTTGGTGATTAAATACAGTGTTCTCACCAGGATTTTGCTTGAGGAGTCCCAGGCCCCCCTCTTCTGAGAAGTAGGGGCCCTGTAAGAACATTAGGGGAACAAAGTTACAAAAAACACGGGCACGTAAGAACCTGAGCCCGCACTCCAAATTGTCTGTTACATGAAGTACCCACCTGATCCAATATGGCGGAAGAGGTGTTTTACGACGAGGAGGAGGAGTTTACAATGTAGTGGGACGATGCTGGGACCAATGAAAGTAAAGGCAACAAAATTAAAGACTTTGACTCATTTGATATCATGTTTTTTATTTATTCAGACAAACAGAATGCTTTAGTGTTAGGGTGACCATTAAAACTACTTAAGTCCATTTGACTCAGAAGTTTGCAAACGCCCTAACGGGCGCATCTTCTTGGTTTTAATGCGCCATTTCAGTTTTTTTTATGGAATCCCGCAAGGTACGCGCCTGGTGAGAACACTGTAAATATGTAGTTTATATTACGCTGTTAAAGGAAACTATCGCTCTTAATTTGGCCTTATACTTTGTTAAGATTAGGTGAGATTACTTTTCGGAGAATTTGGCCTTAAATTTTGAGGCCTATAATATTATCTGAACCGCAACAAAATGTAAACAAACCAAGCATTGGTTTTGCTCAAATTTCATCAATCGATTCAACACTATATATGAAAGTTTGTAAAAGCTAAAAATTCATTTCAAATCAGTCTGTTGAAACATGTACAGCAAAATCAACAACAATTATTGAGGATTTTTCAATTTTAAAGTGTTTAAAAGCAATTGATTATATGCTAATTTGGATTAAATTTAGAAATTTTTTAAATAAACTTAAGTATTGTTAGTTGCATGAAGTTCTATTCTTCTTCCAATAACAGCCAAATGTTGCGTGTGTCTGAGCAAGAACGGTAACCAGGATTTCTTGATTGACACTCTGTCCACATCCTTTTTCATCTATTTGCATTTTCACGTTCGACAAACATCAATGGGTGCATTTCTGTAATTGTTTACAATATTCAGTATTTTCATGTCAGAGAGCTCTATGGAATATTCCTTAGGGAGAATGAAGTATTACATGTATCTTATTTTTCATATCATGTGGAGAATACTATTACATTCATTTTATCCAATTAATTATTAAGTGTGGGAAAAGACAACAAAATGAATCAATGTCACACCCTTATCAGCAGATTGAACAGACAGTGGAAGAATTCATTTCTATTTAGAGTTGTGTACATTATGTACTTCTAGATTGTCTTTGTACTGACACATCTACTAAATGTTTCATACTAACAAAAATTGATGTATCTTAACAAATGGCATTTCAAAAAATCTACCCTTTTCTTTTTTAACCATTACTAGAAATCTAAATGTAGGTACAATTTTGGCAGCTGCCAAATTTTTACAGAAGCACTGTTCTCTTAGACAGGGCTCCATTCTTAGGAGCTTAAGAGACTTGAGGAGCAAACCGACGAGGAGAAACCCTACACTGTCACCAAAAGTCAGGGTTGTCACTAAGATTTTAAGTTGCCGGGTAAATACAACAAGTAGGCGGGAATCAAACAGCTAGAGATTTCTTTTGGTTCCATTTTTCTTCTATTTTCCAATAAAAGTAGCCACGGGGCCACTCTCTTAGTACGGGGAAAACCCCCGCCCCGTTCTTAATGACAACCCTGAACAGTACAAGTTCTCGTAGGGTCAGGTTTTTTCTAGCACCCGTTTTCTGCAAATTATTAATTTACACTTAACTTTCTGCCATTTTTTTCTTTTTTACTTCACCTGCACTCGACTCAATGCATAACATTTTCCACAACATTTATTAAAAGCAGACATTCAAAAAACTAGTTAAGCTAGTTTATTTTAACTAATCTCAGATTAGTTATTCGGTGATCATAATTTTGCTTTCAGGAACTCCTTCTTATAACACACAATTTATTAGTTATCTGCATAGTAAGAAATTTAATTGTGGATTTACCACTTATTGGAGGATAGCTTAATCAGCTTTTCAGGAACTGTGGCCTGGTCTTCCAGTGAGCTATGAAGTTCTCACAGCAATTGACCAGATCAATTGGTTGAATACATTCGTAATGCATTTAAAAGACCACCCCCGAAAGTAATGAAATGAAACATATGTTTTTATCCAACAGTCTTTGTTTGGGCATCACCTCTCTTGACTCTGCAGTTAATATTAATATTACTCCTTTTACTTTAGGTTTTACAGAATCATACCAAATTCAAAGTGCTTCCCAGAAAGCTTACTATTGGCAAAAGGTTGGCACAATGCATGCACCCCACTCTGCCAAGTGGTGTGCATCTCAAAGCACTGGAAACATACGAGCTCATCTTCACACGCATCGGCCACAAAGGACTGGCACAGGATTTGTTCATATATAGTGCTGGACTTTTTCCTTTACTTGGAAATGCTGCTATGTCTACTAGGCCTTTGTTGATGACTTTGTATGAGAATTATTTCCTTCCACTTGGTAAAGCATTGCTTCCTGGATTATCAGGACTGTTACTTGGCCTTTTACCAGGGATTGAGGAAGGATCTGAATATACAGACAGGTTTGTTGAATATGCTGCAGTCATCAGAAGCCTCCCAATAATGATTTTATCCTTACCACTAAACTACCATTAAGCTCATCAGGGGCGTAGTCAGCCCCTGGACCTGTAGGCCGGAGCCTACAAATTTTGGTTAGATCACTCTACCACTTGTAATAGGTTATGCGTTGTTGGGGTGAGCTAAAAGGCTTAAGAGGTCAAAATGTTTGTGAGGTCAGACTAGTGATGCGTGCAATTTTCAGGATATGTGGATATGAAAGTCAGTCAGGCCTACATATAGTATTGAAAAGTTGGCTACACCCCTGCTCATCAACAAAGATTAGCAGGGAGAAAGTGCCCAGAGAGGCTTGTGGAGAGAAGAACAACAGCCAACTGCAGTGCATGACAATCCTGTTGTTGGCATCCACCCAGGCATCATCACCTTTCCAACTAAACTAGTGCAATACCAACTTTATAATTAGCATATACTTACCAAAGGGAGGATGGGGTAAGGAGGGGAACACTTGTTGAACAAGACAAACATGAAGCGACGTGAATATAATGGCCTGACCTCAAGACCCCTGTAGAGCTAATTGAGCACCCTCAATACCTCTCAGCAGAGATGCCCAGCAATGCCTTAAAACATAAATACATGTAATATTAAAGAGCAGATTTAGAGAAGGGATAAATGAACTTGCTGTTTGTGTCTAAGTCTAAAGCACTCAATTAAACCTCATGTTTTATTAAGCTTTAAAAAAGTACCCAGCTCAGTCTTTCAATTTTAAGTGTGCAAGTTGTACTCAGTCAATAATAATATTATTATTATGAGGTGAAACTACTGTAGATGTTATTTGCTGCCCCAGTAGATCTGCATCTCTGTTCATCCCTGAAATTTTGATGGTGTAATCTGCCTTTCGTAATCTCCACTCACAGGACAATTTCATTGTTGGGATCCTTCAGTGAGAACACAGACAAGAAGATTTTCTACACAACATTGTGGGGATGTATTTATTCATCACCCGGCATCCGCTTACCAGGCATCACCTTTATAATGACAAGGCTGAACAGAAAAGGAGCTGGAAACCAAGAGTATCTGTTAGGAAATGACCCTCCTCTTTAGTAAGTGTTATACATTGCATGTATCAACCTGTATTACACTCTGAGGGGATACAAACTGTATTGAATGGGCGGGGATGCTGGACATCTCAGTTAGGGGGTGTAAATTGCAGATTTTGGTATCACTTAGATGGTTTGACAGTGTTTTACATTTTGGCCTCTACTAGTCTCCTTCGCAGCCGCTCGGGCCGGACTCATGGGAAGGGGAGCATTGCCTGACTCTGGCCCGAGCAGCTGCAAAGGAGACTACAATCCTGGGCAGAATAAAATGGAACAGCACACCCCGATACCCACCCTTACTCCACCCGCCAAATCAAGGATGAAGCCGCGCAAAAGCCAAGACGCGCCATTTTTCTATCCTTGATTCACGGGAAGGGGGATAACAAATTTCCATCTATTTTGTCCAAGATTGTATTCCTCTACTGGTATCGTTTATGCTCTGCGTTAAGAAGCAAAGAAATCGGAGGAAAAATGGAGAAAGAAGGACAAAAGAAAAAGCACTAACTGACAGTGCTGTTGTCACAACGACAACGCAATTGTCACAACTATAAATAATTATACTAGGGTTTTTTAGATGTTCGTGTTAGAATTGTATCTTCTAGAGGTGAATAAAGCTTGAGCCACCCCCTGTTTGGTCTCCTTTTGGAGTTTAATTCCAATTTTGTCCACAGACTCAAAAGTTAGTATAGACTTTCTCAAAGCCCGTTTCCGGTTCCTGTTGGTCTGAAGTTAGTACTACCGTAGAAAATAAATAATGCCAAGTGAAAATACTGCTGAATGGGTTTCATTTAATAAGGTCGCGTGGGAGGAATTCACTCTACCTTGATAAATGACTCCAACATTCTATCTGTGAGGGAAAGGTTTAGAATGCTGAGAATTTTAAGAGGGAGTTTGTGTGTTCAGAGGAGGGAAGAAGTAAAAAAGTGGTGGCTTAAGTTAGAAAGCCTTCGTTTAGTTCATAGTTAAACGGTGGAATGTTATTAAACAACTTAAAAGTCGTTTGACTTCTCTTTTATCTTCTTTCTCAGTCTTTTCTTCAGTCTTGATTAACCTATTTACTTTTCACAATAGGTACAATCACTAAGTAAGGCCCTAGGAGACAGCAGTCTTCTTGTCCAGCGGAATATACTGGACTTCCTTCTGATTTTTCTTCCGGTGGACGCTTGTTACCTCTCATCCAAGGAAAAGATCACGCTAGTGGCGGCTGCATTAGAAGTCTTATTACGAAGAGACATGTCTTTGAACAGACGCCTTTACACTTGGTTACTGGGATCAAATGCGAAGAAAGAATCGTTGTCAAGAACCGATAGTCTCAGCGATGCGGACCACGAAGGGCCGATGGAGACCTTCTTCAGCTTGCACTCGAAGCCGCTTTTAATCGAGGCTGTAAGGAAAGTGTTTCATAGTAAATTTAGGTTTGATAAAGGAGACTCGAATGGAGCTAAGAAAGCACAAAGACTGGAGGTATTAAAACCATTTCGATTGCTGAGAAGTCTTATGGACAAGCCTGAAATCGGCAGTGCAATCGTGGAAGACGTTCTGCTTGATGTTTTTAGGGCGCTGTACAACTATTGCAACGTGCTGAAAGAAAATGGAGCGGATGTTGAAGAAAATGACCGTAGAGATTCTGTGGAGAGCACTCACCTCGAGACGAGCACAACTGACTCGTCAAAGATGAAACTCATAGATGAACTCATCAAAACAGCAAACTTGCTTTTCAATTCTTTTGAACCTTATTTTATGTGGGAGTACTTAGCAAAGTTGCTTTCAGATTGCGATAAACAATCACTGACATCGGATAAAGTTAATGGCGTTGACACAGATCACTGCACCAGTAACGGATTTTGTGCTAAACCTACCTCGACAAGCTGTTCGGAAATTTTTCGCTTGACTGACTTTTATTCTTGATGTTGTCACTCTTGTAAGTATAATTTTTCCCATCTCATTTTCTTTCTTGACGTAAAATTCCGAAAATAAGCAATACAAGAAATTGTGGTCAAGGTTTCTTTTATTCTAGAAAAAAAAAAAAAGAAAATGAACTTTACGACGATAATGGCGAATTACGTAAAGATGGAGGGCCGGATAGAGATATCTTTTTTTGGATGCAATAACGACCGTAGAATCATCCCAGAGAGCAATAATGCCTGTTTACAATAAAGTTCAGATATAACGCTCAATCTGATTGGTTTAAAAGCACTTAGGAAGTGGCTGGAGCACTAAGAAGTAGGAGGAAACACTAGACTACGTCTTGTGTTCCCCCCTACTCTTCTTTTGTGCTCTTTCCGCTTCCTGCGTGCCTTACAACAGATCAGAGCACTGTCAGGGCTTCTTTATTTTTTAAAAAAACCACGTGACATTGCTTTCATCCCATCAATCCATTGGCGCGTGCAAAGATGGCGTGTATCACGAGCAAGGTTCGTTTCCAAATATAAGCCCGGGGGACGTTATGTACTGAGGAGCTCAATAAAGAAAGGGTTTTTACGTCTCGCATTTTTAGGGGCTTTCATTCAGAATTTCACAATCTGCCAAAGTTTGGTGATGGAGTTAATCTAGAGTCCACTGACAGTTTTGAGAAACATGAACTTCTATAATGTCATACCTTTTTTACGTCCCATGCTCAGAGCATGAGACGCAGAAAACAATGCCTTCGTTATTCAAACCCGTGACATATCTGGAAGTTATTGGGCGCTCAATCTCGACTATCTAATCCGAGAGAGTTTTTCAAAAGCTTCCTTTCCTACTCAGTTTGTGTAACTACAGAGGCGATAACGCAGAAATGAACACTCAGTGGCTTGGAGGACTGGGTCTCATAGAAAGCTACTGAGGTTGCTGACCAGAATGAAAACTGATATGCTCATGTTTTACTCGTAGCAAGCTGTGCAGTTACTTAAAGATTACGTCGTGTAAGGTGGAGGAAACGACTTGGAAGAGAGAGGATTCGTTTAATCGTACCATCACGATAGTTAATTACTACTTTAGTCTGCATGTAGTTGAGTTAGCGTTGAAGTCCAGAATTTCCCATCAAATAAACCCAGGCCGAGGGTATTGAAATTGACCTAATTGGTAAGTGTCAAGTCTCTGTTTTTTCTGTCTGTTGACTCTTTTCTTTCTTATGTAGGAGGCTGATTTAGAAATTCAAACGGAGCACTGGCCAGAACTTCTGCGGAGGATAACAATTGAAATGACCAAGAGATGCGAGACAATGACTCTAGATGATGTCAAAGAAGGAATCTGTTTATCCTCCAAACTTCTGTCCAAGGTGATGCCTTCCATGAAGACTGTAGATACACAAGAACCCATTTCAAGTAAAGATCAGAGAAAGGAATTGGAAGGCTCTTCAGAACACGAACTGAATGAATGGAGCGTTATTGAGTTGGAACCTCGTCCTGAAGGTGACAGTAACAAGATTCCCGCATTGGAAAGCTCTGAAACGGTTCAAAATGGAATTACCAAAGAAGAGGTGGAAAAGAGAAGGTATCAGGTGAAAAGGAGGCGGATACTACAGCAGAGGGCGATGGCCAGGAAAACGATAAGTTGGAAGATACTCAGGAGAGTCTTGACGAATGGAGTGATTTCAATGAGGCTGATCCGAATTTCCGATCAAGTGAGATAGAATCTAGTGAGTCTTCTAATGAGTTGTCTACTGTGGACAGTAAAACTGAAGTCAGTGAAAAAAAGTCACTTTCACGACAGCAAAACTGTTGGCAGAGGTGGTGCAGGAAAAACGCAGGTTCAGCAGCCCTTTCAGTCTTCTTTAATTCAAGCCTGCGTGAAATACTTCCAGGATTTCTTCGCCCGATTTGTGATGGAAAGAGTATTGAAACGCCTCAACTCGCTTTCTGTTGACAGTGTGAATTCTCTTGGAGTTAGAAGCAAAAAATGCTACACGGCAGTGCGAGCAAGTGGACTTATCAGCGAAAGCACGTGGAAAGAGCTTGATAATGGCAATCACATTGCAAGAGAGAAACAGGAAGAGAGTGCTTGTCAAACAGAAGGGAGTCTGAAGGCGAGAAGAAATGTGGTTGGACCAACTATGCTGGTGTCATCCTTTAGGTCAATGCAGTCGTCTAGGAAGTGCGCAGGGGCATTTGTAGCCGCATGTAAGCTGTTGCTGGAATTGTCCTGCTTTCCAGTTTGTTCTGGAAGAGATTCAGATTCAGAAGAAATCACAACTGACCAAAACGAAGGTACAGTTTTCGTTGCACGCTTTAAGTATTCCTTACTAATTTTTCCGTTGCTTATTGCACCTTCAAGAAATAACTTTTGCAGAAAATGTTTATTGCGAGACCTTAATATAGAAACTCTTTGCCTAATTGAATATCGTTGGATTCCCTAAAGCAATCAAAGAAGTTATATTTTCGTTTCTTTCGAGTTGTTTTCCGCACAATACCTTGTAAGATAAATTATTTGGTACTTGAGTTAGAGAAGGGCAGTTCGTGACCAGAACTTAACAGGCTTTTTTTCTATTTAGTGAGTTACGAAGTAGTGTTAAAAATTATGAAACTTTGCACTCACAAAAGGCTTGGCTCCCGATCAAGCTTTAGAAATTTATAGTACTCCAGGAGCAAAATATTTTAATTACTTTATTCTTCGTTGTATAAGTACACGACAATAAGCCGCGGCAAATGTGAGTACTTTAGGTGGGGTTATTTTAAGGAACGTTTGACGGTGGTTACTTAAGCGCAGTCAAAACGCATATCAATTTAGCTAGTTGTAATATTGACGTGCATTGAGCGTTTTAGCATGAGGTTGGTAAAGGTAAAGACACACACGAGCCAAAGACCCAAAGGCGCGGAGCTTATCCCGGTTTCCTTAGCATGAAGCATGCCTAAGAGTATTGTTACTCCCCCCTGGACGGGAAGTTACTCCATCGCAGGGTTACCCCCCATTAGTATGTCGCCTGTACCCATTTATACACCCGAGTGAAGAGAGACAAAGTGGAGTAAAGCTCCTTGTCTAAGGAAACAACGCGACGGGTGAGGCGTGAACCCTGGAACTCAGACCTGGAATTTGAGGTGTTAACCGCTCGCCACACACGCCTCCGGTTTCACATGACGTTACTTCGGCCGTATTGGTGTTCCAAAACAGTATGACGGCGGCTATGTTAGTGAGCCAAGCCTATCCTGTGGGACTTGAACTCTTTTCTAATGTAGACTCTTTCTCTTGTTCCGATAAATTTGCATAACTGCTGGCCACCTCTGTACCCGATGTAAACAGTTTAAAAAGGCACATGGCACACGGACTCCAAAAGCTGTTAAATGTATCTGTTTAAAGCGAACCACTTGTATCTAGATTCGGCGATTTAATAAGCTCCCTTTGTTTTTTGTTGCTTCTTTTCAGTGCCCACGCTTCCAGAATGGTTGCAGTCGTTAATCATGTGCTGCTTTGAGGTCGACGACTTTGACATTCAAAGCTCGGCCGTCGGTACGCTTTTGGATCTCGTTAACCTAACGTTATCTGTGGCGGCTGGTCACGCCAATGGACCCAGGCCCTCCGCGCCAGTGGTAGTCATCCCAATGATATCCCAGCAATCTTTGGGGGTCATTGAGAAGTCTGATTTGTACGAGGTACAGTTTGGAATCGTTTAGAATTCGCAAAACGTTTGAGCACACAGATGATATTCGTTTATGCTAAACGAAACATGCATTTGCTTGAAGGTTTTAATATGGCTGTAATGTAATATGTAATTTTTAGAGCGCTGTAATCAAGATCATAACGCGGAGTCCAGCACCACGCTTGAAAGAGAGGTGTTCCCCAATCGAGCGTTAGGCGTTTACGAGTTCGCTTTCTGGAGACTAAAAGGGGTTTTAGTTTTGTCTCTCGGTGGTAAGGCGCCGATCATCTCATCTTTTCAGTTGAGATAAGCAAACCATACATATTAGACGAGCCTCGAGCAGAGTCTGCACCTCTCTTGAAAAGTACGGAAATCTGCAAGAACACAAAAATCGCACAGAATCTGAACAAAAGGAAAAAAAATCCGAATTTTTTTTCTGTTGTTTCTAAAATTTCTAGACGTAGTATCCCGAGATCGTTTTGCAACCTCATCCAGGTTTCATACTGATCTGAATTGTACTTCATAACCATAAAATCGTCATAGTATGGTAACCATCTAAACATGTTTATTGTATGATTGACAGGTCATAGCAGAAAGTCTTTGGGACCATATTGGAGAGGACACAACCCAGTTTCACCAGAGGATCGTTGAGCTGTTTCTTCAGCTCCACAACTTGACGCCTTCTCCATCACTTTGTGCAAACGTCATTGGCAATTCACTGGTAGATAATAATAAGGTTCGCTATAAGCATTGATTATGTAATGATCCTTTTCTTACAGTCAAACCTCCCAAGCAATTTGTGTTTAGCTTCTGCTTTCTTTGTAGTCACTGTAATCATTGATCTCTTGTGGTTGTAGGAGCTTTGCTTACAAGGACACTGGAAGTTTGCTTTGTTCTGGCATGTGGCGAGGAATGTTGTCATCCAGGATTCTGGTCGATCACCAAGACTCGGAGAATTTCGTACTCTTGACAGGTAAAACTTGTTTTATATTGCAAAAGACGGCAAATACTGAAAAAGGTTCTAGTGTACGTAGTATCTATAACAAATTTACTCAGCTGAAAAATACTAATATGACAAGCAAGGCAGCAGGAGCTGATAATCCGTAGAATAAAGTAGGTTTTCAAGAGATCATCATGACGTAAATAACCCAACAGAGGAGTACAGTACAGCAAGATAGTCATTTTGTCCTCTTTTAGACTCGTCAAAGATTCGATGGTGAATTGAATTCCGTCACTTCTCTACAACTGACGGATCCAAAGAAAGACAAAACCGCTTTCTTGCTGTGCTGTTCTGCTCTCTTTAATGATTTAGTGCATCTTTATGTTCAGTTGCATTAAGTGTTTTTTCATCAGCCGTACTGCTTAGTTTGTTACATGGTGCCTTTTCATGCATTAGTGGCCTAAGAGAGAGCTTTCACTCTGTTACGTGTTGGGACACGTAGATATATTTTTTAGCAACTACTATAATTTGCAGTCTGTCTACTTTGAATTGAATATAAATAACGTTGTTGAAAAATAAAGAGGCAGGTTGAGCCAAGAACACCCCCTATTTCAGGGCTTATGCTAAGTGGGTAATCACTACTCCTAACCTCTACAAATTTTATTTTTTTTCAGAGCGCTGTTTATTATGCTTGATAGTCTACAAAATGAAGAGCCAGAAATAAGGTAAGTTGACTAGTTGCATCTCTTGCTCAAGTGAAAAAAATCCCTATTGTTAGCACAGAAAAAATGTAAGGTTAAGGCACTTCGTTTATTAATGAATTTGCATACTCATCTGTGCGGGCTGTGTTGTTAATGAACCATTTGCGGATAACACCCTTTTTGATCTTCATAATTTTTCACATAATCCTTAGTGTCATCCGGTAATTGCTTTTTATCCTTCGCGGGGCAGACCAGTACCTCTTCTGAGAATACTGCTTAATTACTGTAACATGCCTCAAGAACTGAAGCTGAGGTAGTGATGAGAGCACTCGCTTCCCACCATTTTGACCCTAGTCGGGTCAAATCCCCGGGTTGACACCATACGTGGATTGAATCTTTTTTTAGTTCTCACTCTTGAGGGGACCCCAGTAATGTAGGAACTACTGGAATGGTGTTTCCTTATTGGTCGCAGAAAACAGTAACAAATCATTGTCTATCATTATTCCCCATTGTTTCACGGTTAGGTTATCGAACCAATTGGCTTTTACAGTACAGCAGCCATCCATTTTGTCCTCGTTTAGACTCGTCAGAGATTCTATAGTCAATTGAATTCCGTCACTGCTACATCTGATATGGTAAAGGGAAAGTCGCTATTTAGAATTAACTGTTCAAGCCATTTCTTGTTTGATTGATCACAGGTAACCCAGGCTCTGTGATAGTACCACAGTACGGTTCCAGTAAAATTACAGTGTTTGTATGGGGTAAAAATATCATCCTAAAATTTCTAGGAAATACTAAATAAAGATCAGTGAAACTTACTCTGCAGTTAATTGTTGTTGTCCTTACTGCTCCAACGAAGTTTCGTGATAATTTGCAGTAATTTGTTCAAATTCACTCTATCTACAATAATAATATACAAGGTAGGAAACACGAGGTGCCATTTTCGCCGACATGCTCTCATTCAACACAACTTTTCCACGAAATTCGAACTCCAACGGAAAATAAACATGCCAGGATCGTAGAAATAGGATAGCAGCAGATATAGAAACCAATGACGCTTTCCCAGATAGAGAAACGAATCCCACAAACTTGGACAAACTCGAAGAATATAATCCAAACACACCGAGAATACGCTCGCCGAAGCAGCCGGGCCAGATCAACGCGCGGCCAAGAAAATGAGGCCTGGGCACTGTACAAAAAATTCCATCCAGGAGTCCTGGGGTGACCTTTCTAGGGACCGATACATCATTTGCCCAAGGCCACCCTCCCCTGCTGGAAAAATACTTGATAGAAGGCAATTGTTCTTCCTAGCCAATCACCATTTGCCAGAGCAAACCCCGCACACGCGCCTGAATTTAAATGGCTAAAAAAATAGTAATATAATCAGGAGAGTCTGCGGAGTTACAAGGCGTCCCATTTCTTTTACTAAGGAATGCAAATAACAGTAATGAAACTAATGAAATAACAACGCGAAATGCTTACAAGGCGGACTAAAAACAAGGTTGAACAAAAGGTAGATGATGACTGAGATACTGTTGCTGTGAACTCTCGAGCGAAACTATCGTAAATAAACGGTGAAGCTTACAAACTAATGTCAAAAATTATACAGAAAATTGCGACAGAATATGAATTGCGATAACTGAGACGAATGTGAAAGGCACGTGCACTAGTAAACAAAGAACTAGCGCGATTAACATATTTAGCGATTAATGCGGCAGTAACACGCCGACTTCTTGTCAATACAAGTGAACGCTCTATCGGTTAAATATGTGAATCAGCGTGATACACCTCTCTTTGAATTTGGTCCTGTTGTACAAATGCCTCGGTAAGAGCCAAAATTCACTTATATCTTTTGCTCGTTTTAAGTTTTGTAAATCGTCCTTCGTTGTTCTTTCCTTTGCCCTTATAACCTTGCCCTACTGATGTTTGACAAACTTTCTGAGGACCAGCGCCAGGAGCTGAATATAGTTCGAGAGGAAAATAATCTCTTTATAACAGGCCATAGTGATTGGCTAGGAAGAACAATTGTCTTCTATCAAGTATTTTTCCAGCAGGGGAGAGTGGCCTTGGGCAAATGATGTATCGGTCCCTAGAAAGGTCACCCCAGGACTCCCGAGATGGAATTTTTTTGTACAGTGCCCAGGCTTCATTTTCTTGGCCGCGCGTTGATCTGGCCCGGCTGCTTCGGCGAGCGTATTCTCGGTGTGTTTGGATTATATTCTTCGAGTTTGTCCAAGTCTGTGGGATTCGTTTCTCTATCTGGGAAAGCGTCATTGGTTTCTATATCTGCTGCTATCCTATTTCTACGATCCTGGCATGTTTATTTTCCGTTGGAGTTCGAATTTCGTGGAAAAAGTTGTGTTGAATGAGAGCATGTCGGCGAAAATGGCACCTCGTGTTTCCTACCTTGTATATTATTATTGTAGATAGAGTGAATTTGAACAAATTACTGCAAATTATCACGAAACTTCGTTGGAGCAGTAAGGACAACAACAATTAACTGCAGAGTAAGTTTCACTGATCTTTATTTAGTATTTCCTAGAAATTTTAGGATGATATTTTTACCCCATACAAACACTGTAATTTTACTGGAACCGTACTGTGGTACTATCACAGAGCCTGGGTTACCTGTGGATTGATTGATTGATATTTATTATTATTTTGTGCGAGGCGCTGAAACTACTAATTTTTTTCAAAATTGTGTTTTCTTTCCAGGGTACTCACACAGCACTGGCTTGCTCACGCCCTACAGCACGGCGATCTGGGACGAATCGTCGACCCGCTTCTTCTCTTACTTCTTCATCCAATCACTGCACGAGTCTCAATTCACTACCTGTACGCTTTATTGGGTACCAAAATGTCCACAAAACGTGCTGCAACGCAAGGAACGGAAACGCTGGCTAACAATGTAAAGAATATTAAGAAAGAAAACGGAGTTACAGCGGCTGGTAGACAGAACAACAAAATAGTGATCCGAAAACCCGAGCATTCGTCGGGGAATTCTCGGGGATCAGATGATAGCAAATCTGCTAGTCCGAGTAAGCCGAGCGAAGCAGAACATTCGACGGACACTGACGGAGATGGAGCAGAGGCCGACGACGAAAACGAAGAAAACGAGCCTAAGAAAGATGGTGTGTGAATCTCCTATGGCCGAATTTCTTATTCGTCGTTTGCTTTATTTAATATCATTGTGTTAGTTCGTAGTATTTTGTTTAAGCTCGGCTCTGTTTTGCCTGGTTTAACGGGTGATGTGGAAACGCGAAAACTTCTCGATTTCTTCCTAACCAAGGCCGATAATTATCAGCGTTAACTGGCCGATAATTATCAGCGTTAACTGGGTCTGTGTCTGATACTTGTGCTTATGCCAGCTGCCGATAAACCATCACCCAGTGTGCCCTTCCGGTATATTGGGGGAGCGAGCGTGGCGCAGTGGTGAGAGCACTCGCCTTCCACCAATGTGACCTGGGTTCAAACTCGTGGAAGCCATATGTGGGTTGAGTTTGTTGTTGGCTCTCTCCGTTGCTACGAGAGGTTTTTTCCGGGTACTCCGGTTTTCTCCTCTCCTCGAAAACCAGCATGTCCAAATTCCAATTCGAACTGTAAGGGCTGACGAAGAACCAATTTTTTGGGTGTGCTGCATCATCATCCATCATCATCATCATCATCATCATCATCCATCATCATCATTATTATTATTGTAATTATTATTATATTGATTAATTCAATTCACGCGAGTTCATTGTACTTTTCAGTTGCAGTAAATGGAAAAGGCACTACGCCAAGCAAATCTCCTCCGCAGTCACCACCTCCAAATAGATCTTTAGTACATCCCTTGGATCAACATAAACTGCTGTACATCTTACGTTACGACTATCAGCTCATTCTGTACGCGTTCAGTACTCTTCAAATCATTCTGTCACGTGCTCCACACCAGTTTGTTTGCGCCTCGTCTTCCACCAGCATCAGTTCATCCAACACTCCTCACCAGGACAAAATCAAAGAACTGCTCGTTCGGCATCGGCGGTCCTTACTCGGAAAGGGATTTTATGGTGCGTTATACGAGAGTCCGGTTTCACCTTCGGGTAAGTACAGTGCTAGTGGATGCTTTGGCATTGATTCAGTTTTTGGTGGTTTTTTTTTCTCAGCTGAAACTGGTAAGGCAAGCAATGGTCACACGAAACACTTCCGCTGTACCCCCCCCCCCCCCCCAATCCCAATGCCTTACGCTTGAGCACCGTAAGAATCAACAGCTACCACCAGTGTACCAGTGTTCACTATATCCGCTCAGACAGCAAAGGGTATATTGTCGATGAAGCGTGAGAAACAGTTGAAAGCTGCCATCTTCCTAAGTTTTGGCCTTATGATGACATTTCTTTAAAAGGTAGTAGTACTTGGGAATGCTGATGAAGCATAATTAGGCCAATATACTTGTTCATGGGTAGCATTGGCTGTCTGTCTGATCACCCTTATTTTTGGGCCAATCTGAGGTCCGCAACATCAAGAAGGATTTTCTGGAGACTGTAGACCCTAGAATGTTCACTCGTGATATTTGGTTTGTTTTCAGGGCCCTCTCACAGTGCACGACTCTTTGGTGGCCCTTTGCTCTATCTGAAACCAAGCACTAGCAAGTACCTGGAAGTACTTATTTCCGTGAGTTTGTACTTCATCAGGAGCGAATATTCCAGTCACCTGAATGTACAGGTTGATGATGTTGATGGTAATATACAGGTGCAAATAGCTAGCGCCGAGATGTTGCATAATATTATGTGGCAGGTGGTGGAAGTAGTCAAAGAGAGCGGAGCCGGTTTCGGAACGTACATCAGTGACATGTTTTCGCGTTGTAAAGTCCAAAAGGCCTTGCTTCACTGTCTACTGTCTATACTGTACGAAAGAACTGGGGTTAGAGGTACCAGTTTCGTTAAATCTCCGCCGCCAAATTTCAAGCCCAGTCAGCTCTACGTCAGTTCGGAAATCAGCAAATCACAGGCTCGAGCTCTTCAGGTGAAACTCCTCAAACTGTTACAAGCCATTCTTATTCTTGAGTCCAATATTCGCACCGCTGTTGCTGTTTCCCAAGACAATCCAGGTGGGCACGGGACGCCGCCTACGAGCAAACCCGAAAGCCCAGCGAAGGCTGCCGACGAATTGAAAGTAACGCAGTCGTCCCATCGATATATCCCGGGGAAGTCTTTGGCAGAACAAGGCATGCTATTGTCAGCGGTTCTTCACGGCCTTAGACATGATGAAAGTGATATGCATTATGAGTGGCTGCAGTTTGTGGTGACGTGTTTGTCACACATGGGCTTAGTGTTACGCGCGTGGGTGGTGCCTGTTGCTGAGCAAATCAGTCGGATTCTTGAGGGATTGACGACTGTGTATTGTAACGACAAGGATGTGAGGTTTACCAGGAAAGACACCAACGATGAGTCGGGAATAAGGTACACAAGATTTCTAGTATTTGTATAGCGTGTAGGTTATGCAAGATATGACACTTTGAGAAGCATGTGAAAACGGCTGTTTTGGTCCTCCGTAAATTTCACCTTTTGCCTAACCTGTATGCTATGCAAAAATATCTATGTAGGCGAAAAATGGCGATAATTAGTATGCGACTGTAAACGCAAACATTTTTGAGATGTTGAAAGAAATGATGACGATGCTTCTAAACGGGGCGCGCGCCATGTTAGTCTTCCAAATCATTTTTGACAAAACACAGTACGGTTTCTCCTTCAATGAAACAAACACAAAAAGCCGCAACAATCTAAAACAAACAAATTACGTGTCAAATCGGTCCTCTAAATTCCTAAGGAACCCACGGACGCTTTTGTTGTCAATTGATTTATCAGTCTTGTTTTTCATGTTACCATGTCCCTCCTGATAGTGAACCTCACTCCCATGTTCGACTCACAATGGAGGCATCAGGAATGACTCTAACGATCTGCCCGGGCGTTGTGCCTTTTTTGTGGCTCTTTTCGTCAATTTATGTCATGACACGTAAAAAGAACTCCAAGTAAATTCCGTTGTGGAGTCCAAATTTAGAGTGTGTAGAGAAATGTAATTAAGGATTCAAGTTTCTTCCACAGGCGAACTGAGACAGGGAGTTCCAACGTACCCCCGGACTATGTCATTACCTTATTGGAAGGTCTCCAGTCCATATGCCACTACTGCTTGCGTGACAATACGACTCCCTCATCTCCAGTCCTCTCACTGAAGCCTCGGATCGGTCGATCCAACTCTAGCCCGTCCGTGAATACTGAAGCAGTTCAGTCGAGTGCAAGCTCTGTGCAGATCTTCACCAATTTGCTGCACGCATTTTCAGTACAGTCCTCTCCAGCCTCCGATGTGCCTAGCGTGGAGGCACCTAAGCACATCTTGGACGCGCGGGAAGGTTTACTGAGCATTTTGCCCAAGATACTCTCCTCACTTTTTTCGGTATGGAGCACTTGGAGCCCACAAAGAGCCGATTCGTCTGGCCAGCGGTTACCCTCTGAATCGCCGCTAAACTTGATGGGGTCTCCAAAGGTTTGCTTTAGTTTTCTTTTTCCGTAGTAAAGTTGGGTTACATGTTTTGAGAGATAAGAGAAGTCATTTTATACAGCAAACACCCGCGAATAAGAACCTACTTTTTTGAAGTCTGGCAAAATAGGTTCTTTTATTTTGGGGTACTTATTGGCAAATTAGAAGTAGGTTCTTAATTTTTATAGAAGACATAATAGATTGTTTTTTACCAGAAATGTAAATATACTTGGGTTTGGTCCTTTAAAATACAGTATTTATTAGTAATTGTACTGTTATAACCCTACAAAACCTGATCATGAAATTTCTATACAGTTTAATGCAGTCTGGTCTTGTTTTACCAAAATTTGCAATCTCAAAGTTACACTTCTTGGTTAAATTGTGTATCACAATTTAATTGTAACCCACCTGCACATATAAGAACCTGCTTGATCTTCATTTGGCGAAACAGGTTCTTGCATTCTTGGGTATTAAAGTGGCCATTTTCTGCCAGGCGGTTCTTAATCCACTGTGTTCTCATTCGCGGGTGTTTATCATATTTTTAAAGTGACACTGTACCTGATACTCATATACATCTTTTATATTTGTGTTTATCATCTGCCTTTTTAAGTTTTGCCCCCGTAGAGAGCGCTGAAAGGTTAACAAAGTTTGCACGTTATGATCAGATCCCCGTGCAAGAAATTCATATTTTAGCTGCAAAAATGCCCTTTCTATTGGGGGAAATAAAATTCGGCCAAGTTTTCTAAAGCTCCTCCTCTCACCTCTTCATTGTGAATCTGATAAGTTATGTTGCGCACGAGTTAAATGTCTACTAAAGGCCAAAGTCCGGGAGCTGTTGGTACTTTAAGGCCCTGTATGCCTATATTGGATATGAAGTGACCTCATCAATTGACGTTCCTGAATAAGCAAATCAAGGAATTGCTTTCACAGTCACCGCGGCGAACGTGATTTCATTTCTAACACTCATCATTCATTTAAGAGACAAAGGAAATGCGCCGACGAGTGTTAGGATATCCGAAGTAAAACGTGTCGTCATTGGATGCTTAATTACACCTTTAATATCATTCCTTTTTAGCGGTCATATCAAACGCACGACACTGTTTTATGTTATTTATCTGATCAAACACCTTGATGTTCGTCGAAAACACTCACGTCGTATTTTCGTTTCTCTTCTGGGTGTCTGTCATGTCTTGTGTTTATCATGTTTCTTCTTTCTACTCCAATTTTTTTTTTCATTATTATTATTTCATTTATTTCTTTATTTCATTAATCTATTTACTATTATTATTGTTATTTTTTAGGCCGTGCGTCAACAGATTCTTCAGCTGCTGACACCAATCGCCATGAACCACACCATCGTGTTTCTCGCCTCGCTGGCAGACGTTTGGTATCAAAGACGAAGACGTGAGTTATCTGGGTCCAAGAACACGAGAGGTATCCCAGTGGCTTCCGAGGATCAGATTGTTGTAGTGGATATTGTTTATGCTATCAAGGTATGCTCACAATAACATACCGTAACCAGCCGTTTATAAGCCGCAACACTCATATGCCCATCAACCGTAAATAGGACAATCACATGACTTTTGGAGGGCATATAGTGGAGTGGAATGGAGCGAGAGTGCAAATGATGCTACGAGGGACACAAATAAACTATATGCCCGATAAAAGTTATGTGATTATCATTATTATCAATACACAAGGCCAAATCGTACAAAGTTTATTTCATAAGGAAAGTTTGTTAACATGAAATCATGTTGCGGGCTGCAAATTCCATTTACAGCCCGTACTTTGCCGTTTGGTTCGCGAAAAGGAGCGTTTTAGAGAGGGCAGTTTGTCATTCGGCCGCGTGTAGTGATAATAATCCTCTATTAAGCTCCCCTTCCTGAAATAAGCCCCCTCTCTCTAATGAGCCCCCCTCCCCTCTCCCTTATTATTCTTCACTAATAATAATAGACTGTATTAATCAATCACGACTGTAAAACTTCGTGTGGACTGATCCAGGGTGGTTTATTCATCAAGTGGAAGTTCGGATTTGTTTTTGATCTTCGGCTGTATGACCTCCAACTTCTTGTACTTGAGCTTTTCCGGTTTGTATTCTAGTTCTTTATGGAGAACTGATACCATCCTCTTTGCGAAATTAAGCCCCTCGTCTCTATTGAGCTTCCCACCCCCTCAAATGTTTCTGAAACAAAAAAGGCTCCCCGGGGGCTTACTATAGAGGATTTACGGTATAGCCAAAAAAATACCCTTTATTATGACGTTTTGAAGCTTAATTAAAGCCATTAAATGCGGCATATTTTGATCAGCGCCGCTATGACTTGTTTTAAGGCGCTTTTTCTATTGCGGCTATAAGTTTTCTCTGATACAAGCCCCTCCGTTTGTAAGCCCTCTTAAAACTCCATATGGAGATGTATAAGCTCTGCGCTGATAAGCGGCAGTTTACGGTAATAGAGTCTAACAGACAGACGTCACGTTACTTCTAATAAGTCTCTGTGGGTATCAATTCGTGGATGGTCAAATTTTTATCAGTCTTTTGTAGTGGATGACTTCCCTCTAAACTTGTAGCTATCTGAAACTTTTGCAGGCATTGTCAGTAGAAGACATGATTGACAACGTCAAACAGATCGTACGCCAAGTTGTTACAAGCAAAGATAAGACCACGTCCACCCAGTCGGGCCTTGAGGTCAACATTTTGCAGTTCCTGTACGAGTACTTGACGAAAGCGTCCGAGAGTCACTTGATTCACGTTCGTTCCTCACTGTTGTCGCTTATGAAAGAGGGTCTGCAGCTGAATTTCCCTCCAGCCTTGTTTTTGCTGTTGGTTATCCTGCGGTCTTACGTTCAAAACATTCCTTTACAAGAGGATAAAAAAGTCCGCAAGGAACTACAGGTGAAAAATTGTTAAACTTTTCTTTAAACTTCTAGCAATTCTTTTTTATCATGTCGAGAGGCGGGGGCGGGCAGTTATCATAATGAGATTTTAGGAAGCGAGCGAGCAGAGAAGGAGCTGGGGAGAAGAGATGGGAGGTACCTCCTTCCCAACTCCCTCACCGCTTCTCCTGTCTGCTTGCTCGTAATATACGCATGAGCGCGACAATCTTGTTGAACCTTAACAGGCTGTCCGCGTAAGAACCGATAAGGCAAATTTCGGTCTATCACGAATTGCCCTGATTTTTCCAGTGGAAGATAACTATCCTATCCCATGAAGAAATATCACATTTATTTGGACCAACTCAATTTTTTTCTCTGTATTACAAGAAGATTTTCTCGGTTACCTAAAACTAGCCAGTTTGCCGTCGGAAGTGGTGCGATTTTAAGGAAACTTTAGGGCTCTTGCAAACCTACCTTACAAAGCGGAATAAGCTGATTATTTTACACACAAATGTTTTAACTCTGATTAATAGTTTCAATGTTTAATGGTTACATTCTGTGGAAAGTTGGCTGAGATATGATTTTTTTAAAATGACCTTTAATTTGCTTATCGGGAAAAGTAATTTGCATAACTAGAGCTGAACGGTAATTTCGCAAAAGTGGCACCTGACCCAGACTCAAGTCTATGATAAAACAGAAGTACTAAGACCAGTCTACTTCATAATGCAATAAAATTTGTGGGCACTCCTCTTTGCGTGCTGTACAAAGTTCCGTTAATGTTCCAAAATTCACCATTTTGACAGCAAAGCTGGAATTGTAACGGTCTGCATCTGGTCGACTAATTTCCACAACTTTAACATATCTAGTTATCACTAACTGTCATTAGACCCTTTAAATGTTGGACTTTCGAAAACATGTGAAGAAAACTTGGTAATCGCTTTTTCTTGGTTTTTTTTTCTTGTCGACGATGAACATGACTTCATTCTCCGTATGCAAATTAGCCTTAGATGCGTCGTTTCAACAAATTGACAGGAAATATAATACTCGCGTTTCATATTTTTAAGGGAAAAATAACTCTTCTTTCTACGAAAAAACACGAACGATGTATGACTTAGAATCCCCTTGGGTCTGTTTCTTTTACGAGGAAGAAGCAGCAGAAGAAGAAATGTTTACGCGAATTTAAAAAATAATTTAATTACTGTGGTTCGTCACGCATTCCGCCAGAGTGACCGTGTATCGATCAGTTCTTTTATCCTATTATATCTTTTTTGAGGTGATAGTTATTGGATAATCATACAATTTAATCACTGTTAATTCCGATTCTTTACTGGGTGGGAAATACCGTGCTGTTGTAATTATTCACTCTACGACCGTTTTAACTGAGTCAGTCAGTCACAGGGCGCCACTAGGATAGGGTTTAATATAACGGCCCATGGTGTAATACACGACAATCAACCAAAAAGTAGTCACTTGGAAGAAAAGAAAAAGGCATAGTTTTTTGTTTACGGTCCGTCTCCTGTTAAGACCCAAAAGTTTTTGCCGGCTGTTAATCACACTAAATTAAGGATCCCTATGTTGTCTATGTTTACTACTGAGCTGATGGAGAAAAGCACGTGCACTCAGTGAATGAAAGACGAAAGTTTGTAAATTAGGTCTCCTTTTCTTTCCCTGGATTTGAATGGTATTTTAAAGTGACACAACTTATTTTTTTTAGCATTACCCAGGGCTGTAGCTAGGTTTTTAGTAACGAGGGCTGACGAGGGGCATTATCGCGAGAGCCGAAGGCACGAGCTTTGTAGGGGGGGTCTGGGGGTGTCCTCCCCTAGAGAAATTTTCAAATTTGGAGGCTCCGAAATGCTATTTTCAGCACTTGTCATGAGATATGTCTCCGAAAAATCAACCTCGAAGATGAAAATGGCAAACAATTGCAAGTCACTATAATCAACATAACTGAGTCTAAAGAAAACAAATCCATCCACAGACTTGATTTGTCTGGCTCAACAGGTCCAGGGGAGGCAGCTGCCCTACGGCTCTGTTACCACGTTGAACTGGCTTGGTTGATCTTTCTTTGACATATACATAGGTTGAAAGCTTCTGATTGAGGGTGTTGTGGTCTCAATTATTCTTGAGCGATTTCTGCAACAAGCTTTTGCCTTTCGAACACCTTGTCTTCTTGCTGCAGATCTCTATAGTCAAGTTCAATGTATATTCAAGTTCATTACATTGGTTATTTCGTCCATTGCCTTATTGTAATTACACTTAGGACTATGTTTAGGTGTTGACTCAAACGGGCCTAGAGTCCAACATGGGCTGGCAATAGGTGAGCACGGAATTGGAATGGGGGTGGGGGGAACTCCCTATGATGGGCTATACGGGGAGGCTCCACCCGAAAGGGGTATCTTTTTCAGGCTTCAGGTATATGAAAGGGTACGCATTTCACTAGATGAAGTATATGAAAGGGCGAATGCGCTTATTGCAGCCTTAGCAGCACCTTTGGCGGTTCTTAAAGGAAAAAGAACTAAGTTTAAGAATTTAAGGAAAAAGTAGAAGGACTTAATTTTTCAGGAATTAATATACAGAGGAGAAATTTCACCCTTTAAGTATAAATGCTTGTAAAAGTAGAGGTGGAACCGGAGGGAGAGAGGGTGGATCGTAAAGTAGATTAAAAATAGAGAGATAGGAGGAGCACTTTGATGGAGCACATTGTTCAAGAGGGTATAAATACAAAAAAAAACAGCAATCTGGAGGCATTTTTGAAGACTCAATGAAAACGTTATCAAAACAAGAAAAACAGAGAAATCTTGTCCAATAAACCTCTCCGGCAACGGTGTGGACATGGTTGCTGACTGCTCAATCGTACTCTTCTCGACCCTTCGGCGTCAAGTTTTTTCACGTTTCTTGCCACAAGAGGAGCAAATCGGCTATATAAAGTTGAACTGAACATTCTGGTACTTTTAAATCTCACTAATTTTTACAAAACCAGAGACATGTTTTAACACTGTTTAAGTTAAAAAAGATTGTTTTTATTGCAAGAATGAAATACTTTTCACACACGTCCCAAGGACATTCCTCTTAGAAAATGGCAGGGGCGGGAAAGCCCTGGGGACGAGGTTGAATCCTGACTCCGTGTAGAAAATTCTTTCCTTTTTCCCCATTTACAACGCTCTTCAAACAATCATCAGAAAACTATCTTCTACAACACACGGATTAACCTTTATGTATTGTATTTTATAGGTGAGAATTGATTAGAGCAAGATACACGGCTGTCAAAAAATAGAAATAAATAAACTATCTTTGCAAGCTCAACTAAACTGGAAACGAACATCAGAAAACATCGCAAGATAAAATGTTAAATGGAGAAATAAGAATATCTCTGTACGTTTAGAAATTTTTTGCGTGAAGAAGAAAAAAGAATGATACTTACATGATGGAGCAAAACTTTGACTTATTTCCTGCCACAGTAGTTATTTTGCCAGTATGATCCAGAGTGTGACCGGGGTATTGACAAGACCTTAGGCTCGATTTCCGCCGTCTCCCAATCCCTTGGGGGCTCATTTTCCAGCACAGCGGCTTACAATCGAGCCTAACAAGACCTTGGCGCTCGCAAAAACCTGCCAAGTAGGTGTCTGTGCCTTGGGCAGATTGTCATGTTAGTGTTAGCCTGTGTACACACCACCCCCCGACCCCTCGGAGAAGGGGCCCCTTCTCCGATTTTTCCTAAGGGAAGGAGGGGGGGTCTATACACAGGCTATTAGTGTCTGTGCCTTGGGCAGATTGTCATTTCAGTTCCGAATACCTACCAAACACTCTCGCTAAAATGAGTTCATTTAGTCATTGACTTTGCTACACTTAGGCAAGTGACAGATGGCTAAGTGCGACGTAATATCATTCATGCACTCTGCGACCAACACATTTCCCTCCACACCCCTACTGGGACCACACTCTGTCTTCACGATCTCGCGAAAAGAACAGCTCTTTTAACAATTGATCTCTTTGGCGATTTCATTGACATAATTATATTTGAAACTGGCACCTGTTGCATTATAATTCAATTAGATTGAAACCAAAAGAAGATCATCTTGGGAATACGGATGTTATACCCTAACAGGAGCCCATAGGCCTCTGACCCTAACAAAAACTAAAAACTGAGATAATCCCTTTTCCCCTTTCATTCTGCTACCGATAAATGCTTTAAAGATCTTTGAATGAAACTGAAATTTACAGCTAATTTGCCTTTTGCAAAGCTATACATGGATTTAGATAGAAAAAGTGTGGGGCATTTTTTTTAATCATAGTGCCGTGTACAAACATCTGATAAGCAAAAAAGAGTGCCCACAAATTTTATCGTGGTGACAAGAGGACTTACCTTGCAAGTTAACTCTTATTTTTAATTATTATCATCAACTACCATTTAAAAAAAGATGATAATATAATAAAATTGATCGATTCAACGCTATTGTTTTCTAATCGACCGCCCCTCGTTAGGAATGCGTGACAGGCCACAGTAATTGAATTATTTTAAGCCACGCAAACGTATATCATGATATATTATTCAGCTGCTTCTTCCTCGTTAAACAAAAAAAAACAGACCTTAAGGGGATTCTAAGTGATGGTTCTTGTTTTTCTGTGGAAAGGAGAGTTATTTTTCTCCTTAGAAATATGAAATGTAAGGATTATGTTTCATGTCAAGTTGTTGAAACGACGCATCTAAGGCTAATTTGCATACGGAGAGTGAAGTCACGTTCATCGTCGACAAGAAAAAAACCAAGAAAAAGCGATTACTAAGCTTTCTCCACATGTTTTCGAAAGTCCAATATTTAAAGGGTCTAATGACAGTTAGTGATAACTAGAAACGTTAAAACTGTGGAAATTAGTCGACCAGATGCAGACCGTTACAATTCCAGCTTTGCTGTCAAAATGGTGAATTTTGGAACATTAACGGAACTTTGTACAGCACGCAAAGAGGAGTGCCCACAAATTTTATTGCATTATGAAGTAGACTGGTCTTAGTACTTCTGTTTTATCATAGACTTGAGTCTGGGCCAGGTGCCACTTTTGCGAAATTACCGTTCAGCTCTAGTTATGCAAATTACTTCTCCGATAGGCAAATTAAAGGTCATTTTAAAAAAATCATATCTCAGCCAACTTTCCACAGAATGTAACCATTAAACCTTGAAACTATTAATCAGAGTTAAAACATTTGTGTGTAAAATAATCAGCTTATTCGGCTAGGTAAGGTAGGTTTGCAAGAGCCCTAAAGTTTCCTTAAAATCGCACCACTTCCGACGGCAAACTGGCTAGTTTTAGGTAACCGAGAAAATCTTTCTGTAAAATAGAGAAAAAATTGAGTTGGTCCAAATAAATGTGATATTTCTTCATGGGATAGCATAGTTATCTTCCACTGGAAAAATCAGGGCAATCCGTGATAGACCAAAATTTGCCTTATCGGTTCTTACGCGGACAGCCTCTTAAGCAGTAGCAGTCTTATTCTTTTAGTTTTGTAATGAAATTTATAAAAGTCTCGTTTTACAAACGCAGCCAGAGCGATGGTTACAAAACGTGCACAGTGTAATGAAAATGTTAAAAGAAGGTCATTTTAATAGAAAAACACCTATTTTTTCTCATTTTTCGAATTGCTAGGACATTACTCAACGTTTGGTGGAGGCGTGTAACACCGTGGCAGGATCGTCATTGGAAAACGCTGCCTGGTTCAGACGTACTTTGGCTGTTATTCCACAACAGGAGGTCAGTTCTGACCAATCAAGCAACGTAGATTCGGAAGTGTCTGAAGTGTCGGAAACCGAGCCCACGGTGACACCTCCTACAGCGCTCAGCAGTAACACAACTAGTAATACAAGTAGCTATAGTACCCAGGCTCTGTGCGTATTGGCCGAGGTGCTCGCTCCAGTGTTGGACATGGTGTTTGGAAGCGATGAGAAGGAAAGAATGACAAGTTTTCTTACAACTGTCATGTACAATGTCACGCCTTTTCTGAAAAATCACAGGTACGTTTAAAAATCCTTTTTCGATTCTTTCAGTGACACTTTCAAGGTCATATTTTTGCCTTTGAACTATTATTGCTAACACAGGAAGAATATTAAGAAAACTAAGGTAGAAGTCGTCCCTCCATTTTTTTTTCTTTTAGTGTGGTGAAAAAAAATTAAACATTAAACAACTACGGATGTGAAAATGAAATGAAGAAAAAACTACCGTAGTTCTGTGTCAAATGCTTCTGCAATGAAACATACTTAAAAATCACACTTGGCTTCGAGACTTCAGGGATTAAAACAATGAAATCATATTCAGGTTCAGCAATAAACAATTCCTTTGTTTTGTTTCATGCTTATAAGTAGCCTTTATTTTTATTATATTTTTAGTCCACACAACGTACCGAGCTTTCGCGCCTGTTGCAGCCTCCTGGCCTCTCTAAGTGGTTACCAGTACACTCGCCGCGCTTGGAAGAAAGACGTCATGGAACTGTTACTGGATCCGAGTTTCTTTCAAATGGATATCTCATGCATCGGAAGTTGGCGAACGATCATCGACAATCTGATGACACAAGACAACACGTCGTTTAAAGAGCTCATGACGCGCGTTGCTGGCCTTAGTCAGAGTGCTTCTATTAACATCTTTGCTAATAGGGAACAGGTAAGGTTCTTTGAAAACTTTGTTAGAATTCAGTCAATACTGACCAATGGGGCCTTGATTCCAGGGGCCCGTTTCTCGAATGGCCCGGTAACTTTTCGAGCCCGAAATCAAATATTCAAATCGAAATATAAAGAATTACGGCGCTTCGACCTTGTCCTCGCAGCTTGCTAAGCCCGCCACACGAGATAGAGAGCTTTATCCCACGCTAAAAACTGGTCCACTCATGATCCTAGCTAGTTCCGTTTATCTAGTTTATTAGTTGGAATGATTTTTTTAACATCAAATGCATTATTTTTGTTAGGAAATGGAGCAGCGTGCTCAGCACCTGAAGAAGCTTTCGTTCACAATATTCTGCAGTGAGGTGGATCAGTATCAGTATTGTCTTCCAGAAATACAAGAACGCCTGGCTGAAAGTTTGAGGCTACCCCAGTCTCCAGTCGTCCACGAGCAGATCTTCCTCTTCTTTAGGGTCCTGATACTGCGCATCTCTGCTCAGCACCTGACGCCCCTATGGCCGACGATATTTTCTGAAGTCGTTCACGTGTTGCTGCAGATGGAGAGCGACATAAGCTCCGATGCTAAATCACAGAAGCAGCGAATGCAGATTTCGGAATTGCTGCTCGGTACAAATGGATACGTATCCTACAATCAAGAAAAATGGTTGCGACTATACCTTGCCGTTTGCAAACTTCTCGATCTTTCCCAAGCGCTGCCTAGCGATTATCTATCCCAGTTCCAGTTATATCGCTGGGCGTTTGAAGGAGAGGCATATAATATGACCGCAGGGGAAGAGAAAGTGCCGGTCTTTAAACCTCACATAGCTCGCTTGGAAAAATTACTGAGGAAGAAAAGGAAAGATCAAACTGCTATCGAGGAGATTCATAGTGTTCCGGGGCAGCCATTGCTCACAATGTACCAGATCAAGTCCTTGGATCAACTTCTGCCGTTTTTTCAATGTTTGTCAAAAAAAATGTTTGCAAACTGCGCTAACACTCAAGACCAAAACATTAGTAAAAGCTCGCGTGGTAAAAACTTGTTGGAGAGAGTTGTGGAAAGAGATTTCCTTGAGCCTCTCGTCATTGATTAGATTAGTAAAGCCATGCAGTACCAATATCCTACTTCCGAGGTGCCTCTTATCTTAGTTTTAAAACAAGGCTAATTGTAATACGAAAATAGCATTTTTTTACTACTTTCATTCAGTTTTCATATGGAAGGTTTTTTGCACTCATCCGCGAATCACTTCGTTTACTTTAGTACCAATTTACAGGACGGAGGGAAAGTTAATAAGCAAAACTTGATAAGATCTTAGCCTGACTGTGGACGCTTCTTGTATTGGCCATTGCAACGTTGCGCAGGATTCTGGGTCCAAATACGTCCCAAAAAAGAGTCCCCATATTAAGACTTATCGCAACACGGCCAGTGTTTTATTTTAAGGGGTTTATTTTAAAAATTACTGTTACATAAAAGGCCAAACCGCTGAAGCCAAATGTGGTTAGAGTGAATTTTGAGTCTTCTTCTTTCTTTTTGCTTTCATTTTAATGTGAGTTTTTGCTTTTTGAAACAGCTATTTAAATAGGCTCAGCATATTACTTCAAAAAGTAGTGTTTGTTATTGCTCGTGTCGTTCTTGAGCATTTTATTTATTGACAATGCGACTGAAATTCGAAAATTTTAAACTGAGAGTTTCTGATGAAGCAAACGACTGGTAATGCAGTAAGTAGCAGCAATAATACCCTCTTGAGGCCACCAATGTAACATTGTTATTGGATCGTATATTATTAAGTAAAGAACATTTTGAATATTATAAGGATAGTTGTAAACCATTCGACGAACGGAGATACATTGTATGTGGAAACGCATTAAGTTGCGAAGAATAAAATTATACCATGCATATTTTTTTAAATAATTTTTTAAGGAAAGCTGTTTTTTCAATCTTGGCCCACCATTAAGAAGCTGACGCAACGACGACGGCCACGGCGACGAGAACGGCAAAAAAGCAATAAGTTTAGACTGATTGCCAAAACAACAACTTTGCACGCGCATCACGCTTGTTCGTACATTTGTCTCAGCCGTCGTTACAGATATTAGAGACCTTTAGATTCTAAGACGAGTACGACTACGAGTACGAGATTTTCTCAGTACTAAGTAGTGCCCGCGCGTGAACCAGCGTCATTTTGGCGGGAAAACGTGGTAGCCGTCGTCATTCTACTACGAGTTTTAGCGAGAATGTCGAAGTGGTGGAAACAAGTTATCAAATGTTAGAAGTTTTATCATTTTGCGATCAGGAGAGGGTGTAACCTCCTTCACTAAAGGTAACAGTGCTAACTTTTCTAGTGAAAAATGGTAAAATGAAGCTTTCCGGGGAGTCTATATTTTGAGAAGACGCGAAAAAACTTAAAGTCAAATCTCGTACTCGTAGTCGTCCTCGTCCTTGAATCTAAAGGTCTCTATTAGAGGATGTTAGCATCGACAACGAGTACGAGTTCTAGAACGAGATCAGCGATTTTGCGTACTGCGCATCCGTTCTGCGCATCTCCACGTTTTCAAGTCGTCCTGTCAATTTGCACTACGACGACTTCTCACCAAAAACTCGAAGTGGGTAGAACGACTGGGAAGAGCTGGTTTTCAAAGGTAAATTCCGATCGTTTAATGCAGTTTCTTTTCGTTTCTAGCCTCTCTTTATCATCTTGAACATTCCTTATATTATGTTTTATGTAAAATACTGCTTTTGAAGTCGAGGAAAAGCAACCGAACGCAATATTTCCTACACAGTTCTATAAACTCGAACTCGGTGTCATCGCTAACATAGAAAGCTGAGAAAACGACTTCGAGTACGAGTACGGCTTGAAGTCGTTCTCGTACTCGTACTCGTTGTTGTTGCTAACATCCTCTATTGACTAAAACACCGCACGGGTACATACGGGTAACATGCGTGTAGCACACGGATACATGCGGGTATATACGAGTAACATACGAATACATACAAGTAACATACAGATAAATCCGAGTGACCGAAGGATGCATATGAATGCATACGGTGGTAGCTAATATAAACGAAAACCCGCACAAAATCTACCTTTTGCAGTAGGGAGATGTGAAGTACCTTGACGAGTTTAAGAAATTGTAAATTGACTTTGGGATTCGATCGCGAACCATGTTAACCTGAATGCCTCCCCACCCATCTTCGACAAGTATTGAAAGTGATCACAGGGCCGTAGCCACATGTGCGCATGGTACGCACCTGAAAAAGTCGAAGCTAAAAAATAGTAATAAAATAAGAGACAAAAGCAAATAATGAAAAAAAAAGCGAAGGATAAGATAGATAAAAGATAACTAATTTTAAGAGCACAGTTTAGCTTCATTCATAACGACGGACTGTTTAATTTTTCTTTTTACACCCGAAAGCCAGCTTCCAGAAAAGAGACGTGATTCATTTTTGGACCGAATCTTCAATGGTATAAATGTGCAGAGAAACGGCGGAAAAGCGCAAATAGAAAAACTGGATAGCATAAGAATTAAACGCGTTGTTTTCACTTCGGCTTGTCTTCACACTAGACGAAGTACGACACGAGTACATCAACTTATGGTGCTTCGTCGGTCAAAAATTATGTGGCAAATAGCGGTAAAAGAATCACTCGTTTGCAGGTAAAAGTCTGAGATACCACTAGATTGTTGGCGTAGGCGCTACGGTTACACTAGCGGATTCATAAATGTTTCAGATTCAGGATTCCGGATTTATTAAATTGAGGGTATTCGGATCATTTCGCAATACTAAAAACGTATTCGGATTCCCAACAGCGAAATACACACATCTCGATAAAAACTGAGCGGCAGTTTAGCCACGATGGCAGCAAAAACAACGTAAAATAGATTAAAGTTTAAAAAGTTAAACAACAAATTTTGCATGTGTAGCACGCTTTTTGGCACATTTCTTTCGGCTGTCCCTGCACGACCACGACGTGAAATTTTCTTGTGCGACGCGTTGTTTGGAGGAGATGAAAATAAACACACGGAGATGAATTTTTCTTTCTCAGTCCACGGCGCATCGCGTGGCCGTCTAAGAAAAAAGCAGTGGACGTTATTAAAACTGGGAACGGGAAAATGAAAAAAGGGAACAAAACCTCCAATCCCATTATCCATTCTTTTGTTTGTTTGTTTGTGTTAATTTCCCTGTTTCCCGCCGTCCCTCTGCTAGCTCCTTCCTCATTCTCAGGTCCCCTTTTATTAACAGGTATTCTGTCTTCGTTTTACGGAAACCCGTTTTGAACCTTGAGGACTTAAACGATACCTTATAATCCAATTACTGCAATTTACCTATTTCAAAATCCAACCCCTGAACGGGACCGTTTATCACGATAGTAACGTATTTTTATTTTTACAAAGCACTTATGGTTTTAAAAACACCAAGAGTTTCTTAGGAAAATTACTCCTTACTGAGATGTCATTGGATCTGTTTGTAAAAAAATATTGCGAAAGTTTAGATTCATCTTCTTGATCCCATTCCATACCTTTTTAAAGTAAAAGGAGGTGACGAGATGAACGTTCCAGAATTTCTACCGAAACACGTTCATTTTTTAACCGAGTTAGGTTCTATGAGAAAAGTACTTGTTTTTACTTGAAAAGGGATGTTCTTGGTTGTTTAACTGTTAATTCTTTACATTCAACTCTCTGGCAAATTTGTTTTGCCCCTGTTTTCGGAAGGGAAATGTTTTCCTACCTATAACAAGTGAGCTGACTCATTTTAAAACCAAGCAAGATAGACAATTCAACGTCTTGTTTGATGTTATTAGAGTTCTTAGTAATCTTAGTAATCTTCATTGGTTACCAGTTGAGTTTAGAATAACTTTTAAAGTCCTTTTATTGGTATACAAGGCCCTTCATGGCCTTGCACCTTCTTATATTTCTGACCTTTTGAATTTTAAAACATACTCTAGGTCATTGCGTTCTTCATGTAAAGAATATTTAGTGGTTCCAAGAAGCAGATTGAAAACATATGGAGACAGAGCTTTCTCTATTGCAGGACCTAAATTGTGGAACGATTTACCTCTAGAGATTAGGAAATGTGCTTCAGTGGCAACTTTTAAGCAATCCCTTAAAACTTTTTTATTTAAGTTAGCATATAGGTTATGAGATTCCTTTTGTTTTGAGATGTTTTTGATTTATATAGTAGATAACTTAGGCTATATTTGAATTATATTGTATATTGTAGATATTTTATATTTTAGATTTTTTATATTTTATTCTGTAATTAGGTAGCGCTTTGGACAATTATTGGATTTTAGCGCTATATAAATAAAATTATTATTATTATTATTATTATTATTAAAAACTCATCAATGTAATTTAATTCGTCCTTTCTTTTTTTGATCTTTCCCGTTATAAGAGTAAAGACTGGACCGAATTTCGACAACAAATTGGTTTCTGCATCGAATGCCTTGTTTTTAAATTTACATTGTTTTTAAAAGTCTGAGCGTTTCTTAGCAAAGTAATTTAATTTTGTTATTAAATAATCGTAAGAGAATTCAATTTCATCTGTTAAGTAAAAGAAGGTTGTTGGATGAATTTTTCAGTGACAATAAACTGTATGAAATGCGTTAAATTGGATTCCACTTGTCTGTTTACATAATTTTCGAAGTTACAACGTTTCTTAGCAAAATGGTTGCAGATGTTATCCTATTACCTTTTCAGCATAACCTTTCCTTCTCTAGAAAAAAGGAGACTATACTCTGCTCGCTCAGGTTGATTTGTTAGTAATGAATTGAAAGAATCATATCTTTCACATAAATTGGGATATAGGTGAGAACACAGGCAATTTAACAAGTCATAGGCTAGTAGCACCTCCTTCGAGGTCATCGGGAAAGTGAAATGGTATACTAGATTTCCGGCTAAGTATGATCTTTGCTGATTTAACAGTTTTAAATCTGTTGTTTAAGTATAGGTCGCTAACCCAAAACTGAATGGTTCCGGTTTCCTTTTACTTTACATAATGATTTTTTTCCTAGCTATATATGAAAGAAAGAAATAAACACTTGGAAAAACGTCTTTAAAGTAATTTTCCTTCTCGATATTTACCATGAACATTTTTCAGAAAGTCGTTTCGGTTCTTCTTTAGTAATAATAATAATAATAATAATAATAATAATAATAACAATAATAATAATAATGATAATAATAACGATTTATCGACAGTATTTCTACAGGGTAGCTCTACATCCGTCATACTAACTAAAAATTAACGATTTACATGATGTTATTCAAAAATCATTCACTATTTATATAATGCACTTAAAAACTGTTAAAACCATATAATCTAAAATACTATAAATACTATGAGTGACCATAAATAAATTTAGCCAAGGCTAAAAGCGAAGCTCCCGATAATATTTATAGTTTGTTCACACAAAATATATATTTCGTGTAATGCTAAGCGGCGAAGGCAACGCAGGAGAACGGTGAAAAACAACAACAGGTCTAATTAGCGAAGAAAGCAACTTTGCACTTGCAACACACTTTTTTTGTACATTTCTTTGCCGTTATTTTGCACGACTACAACGTGAAACTTCCAGAAACTTCTTAGGGTGCGTTCACATTTAGTGCCAGGGTACCTGACTAGCTCCCGGGCATGGTACAAAATGGTGTTTTGTCCACACTATGGGTACCCAAGTTGTCTTTCGTCCACTTTGCTCCGTCAGCAGACGCTATTTTTGCAGAAGGGGCGAAGACGTTGACTGTGGGTAAAACTCCTCGGAACCAACGGAAAACACGTGCACACAGGGACCCGGGGCCCACTTTAGTGCCCGAGTACAAGGTCTCTACCTTGTATTATTGGTTATTTTTGGAAGTGTTAGAGTCTGAACACCGCTAATTGTTTTTAATGTGTAATATTTTTTATACGCGAGCAATGATAGCTCCAGTCCCTCGTGAATTCTACTAAAATAAGACTTTCTTTGTTGCGGGAAAAGACTTAAGATTTATTCAGGTATCTTTAGTTGGTGATAATCATAATTATTTTACAACGTTTTGTAGCAATGCATTGGCTAAGGTTATCTTTTCCTCGGTAAAAATCCTTGATTCTTGATTTAATGTGAAGAAAATCACAGTTTTAAACAAAGAGTCCGCAAATCAATCCTACTGAGACTGTAGTTTTATTTCAGAACATCTGATCATTTATCTCTTTAGAGGTTGTCAGTAGGATGGGACAGTGTTTTGTGACAAAGTACATTCGAATGTTAAAAAGCATTTTTGTCACACGACACTAACAAGTCTGCTGAGAAAGCTACCTGAACACCGCTTGATTAAAATAAGTACTGTATTTTTTTTTATCAATTCTTGAATGAAAACTTCTCGCTTTTATAACAAATTTCAATGACATGCTACTGGCCTTCGGATGGACACTAATATGTATAAAATTTGGCCAGTAAGTGAAATGATTCTCCGAAAATTTATCTCGCGCAAAAAACAGCACAGACCTGAATCTTGGCCAGACCGTTTGCTTACTTATCTGTCATATTCCTGACTTTGTGTGTAAAAAGGTTTTGATTCTTAAGTTTAAGGTGTTTACACTGAAAAACAGAAAATGAAAAAACAAAGCGATGGTACCCCTATTATAAAAATATGATAAAAAGAATCAAAAGCCAAAACCAGAAACTGAACAAATAGGGAAATCTCGTCAATGTGCGCTTGATACATTTTCGTCTAGCGTGCGCTCGTTTTTGGCTGGACGAAATCAGTGTTCAGGATAACAATCAAAGTAATATTCATGGCGCTCTACAGGTTGCATTCCTTTTGACCAATCTAAATGCGGATTTTGCGATCCGAAATTAATTTGATTTTTTGCTCCATTAAGGACTAAACCAATCTAAGATTGCAATCTGGACGATGCACCTCGGGACTTGGATCGTTTAGACTGGTATCTCAATCTGGTTTCAGATTTTTATTCCATTTAACAAAACTGCTTTTCGATCGCAAGAACGTGCTCGTTCATCGATAAACACGGCGAGTCAATCTTACTTCAGATTTTTGTTCCGGCTAGCACAAAAATCCAAACAATCTGGATCGTCTAAATCCGAAAAACGTTTGGCTAAAAGGAGTGCAACCACTATAGTTAAAATACCAAGATAAAAGTTAAAAAATTACTTTCCGCTGTTGTCTCGAAAACTATCACACTGCCAGTAGAACCTTTGTTTCATTTGCTCGATTTTAGCGAACTCAAGAAAGACTCTGCATGAATCGAGTAACATCTTTGCTTAGTTTCAAACCCAGGCCCCTCCACTTTACCAATATATAACTAATCGCATTGTGTCCTTCTTCTTTTAGATGCTAGCGAAATTATGAAAGGGAATCTCGAACTGATCGTCGGTTTAATACTGACGTTAATTCTCAAGTACCAGATTAGTCTGGCTAAGATGGATGATGACGATGACAATATTAAAGATATTACTCCAAAACAGGCGCTCCTTGCATGGTGCAAAGTGAAAATTCCTCGGACCTTCCCGACGAATAATTTTAACAAGGACTGGAACGATGGACGCGCCATTGCCTGCCTGGTAGATGCGGTGGCTCCTGGCCTTTTTCCAGAGTGTGAGAAACTGGATCCGAGTGAAGCACTCAAGAATGCCAGACAGTCAATGAAAACTGCTGAAAAATGGCTTGGAATACCACAGGTTGGCAGCTTTTATTCAATAATAATAATAATAATAATAATAATAATAATAATAATAATAATAATAATAATAATAATTCACCGCAACAGTGAATATTTTATTTGATATCACTTTTTTAACGGAGCTCTCGCGCGCTCGAAGGGCGCGCCTGGGGATCACCATGGGTAAGTAAATGTACCCATCCCAGAAAATTTGGTAATCACGTGACGGTACTAGGACCGCCTCCGACCGTCCGGCCACACCAGACTCATACCAATGTAAAATAACTCAATCAACAAGTGTGGCAACCCAAATGCAACTCGAGTTTATTTTGGAGAGGAGGAGACATTTTTTTGTTGGAAGAACAACATGAAAATTTTGTAGCGGCGATGTCAACATGAGAAATGCAAGGTGAAAATGAGCGGCAGCGAAAAAAAGTGAACGAGCTACACGTACGACATTTCCTCCAAAGAACGTGTAACTAAGAAATTTCTGAAGTTTCACGTTGTAGTCGTGCAAAACAACCGCAAAGAAATTCACAAAAAGTGTGCTGCACGTGCAAAGTTGCTTTTTTGCTAATTAGACCTATTGTTGTTCTTCACCGTTCTCGTTACCTTCGCCGCTTAGCATTACACGATTCTATACTTTGTTTGAACAAACTTTAAATATTATCGAGAGCTTCGCTTTTAGACCTGGCTGGTGTGGCGGATGCACACCAGTTGGCTATGTACAAGCGGGGTCGAGGAGTTGAACTTGGAACTAACGAAAACACATCCAGCTAGCGGTCAAGGCGGGACTTGAATTCGGGGCCTCCGAATTACAAGTCCAGCGCTCTCACCGCTCGGCCACGCTGCCTACCAAAAAAATCTTTATTTTGTTTTCCCTATTTACGTCCTCCATTTTCTTAAGCCATTCACCTTTGTAATTATTCGGGAAAAAAGCAAGATGACATCAGACAGTTGAGTCATTGAGTCATTATCTGCTCATCATCAAGACAAGAAGAAAAAAATCACCAAAACCTTTTTAGTCTTTACGAGTCGAAAACTACACTGGCTTCAATACCTAGTATGAGGCAACACGACGGCTTTTCTGCCCTGGTTATGTCCAGAACAGAAAATTACATTTTTTCTTCATATTTTGTTTTTCCCCTTTCTATATTACCAACGCTCAAATAAAAACATAGGAAATTACGACTGGGAGGATTGCAGTATAAGTGATTTGGTCAGTACAGCATTAAGCTTTCAGGCTTGCATTTTAATGGTCAAACTTCTTGATACAAAGACACGAAGAGTCAGAACCAGTCTCTACATCAAAATAAACAGTACCAAGTGAAAATACAGCTTGGTATCTTTTGTTTGAATTACGTTCACATTTTAAAATTTCATCCACAAACTCAGAAAACTAGTAGGAACCACTCTGTACTCTGAAACTGAAGCTGTTGATTTGTGACATTAAAGGTTATCTCACCAGAAGATATCATGAACCCCAATGTGGATGCACTCAGCGTCATGACGTATGTCTTGTACTACCTTACGGCAAAACTAAAACCTGGTGCCAACACAGACGCAAGAAAGTCAGATGATCCAACAGCAGTGGATGCAAAGAGGAAGAAGATTCAACAAAACACGTTCACAGATTAAACGGTACAACTAAAGGCCTTCGTTTAGACCACAAAAACTGGAGAATATTGCCATAGCATTGAGGTTCATAGAAAACGAGCAAATTGAGTTGGTGAATATCGGTAAGTATAATTATTAAGTTCAGAATGAGAAGACAATGGTTTTTAAACCTTTACACGCCAAGTGCAGACATTATCAAAGGGCGCGCATTTCAACACTTTTGTAGGCACTGCACTTGCTTGAATAATTACACAGCCGGTCCTGCGTAATCGGCGCTCTCTCATGCGTGTTTTCAGTCCATCCATGCTTGAACTGCGATCAGGCTTTTTTTTTTTCTTTTTCTGTTGAGAAGAGAGGGGATAAAATAACGCCTGATATATTATAGGAAGCCGGCATGATCGCATGCAAATCCGCTACTCCAGCTACGCAGTCTATTTGAATATAAATACCCCTTAACAGCGTGACCGAGTAGTCAGCGCCTCGGAAACACGGGCTCGACTAAGTTACATTCTGCTTACTAGTTGAATTAGGCTCAATTGCCAGCTGCTTCTTAGAGCAGGCAGAACGAAGACCACAGCCGAGAGAGCGGCGGAAATCTGGCCTATAGCTGGATCATAATTTTTTTCTCTGAATTCCAGAACACAAATCGTGGAAAAAGCTTGTAAACTGGCAGCTGGTTGCTGTTTGGAAGTTGGGGTTTTGGATCTTGTTCTGTTCTATTTGTATTTAGTATTTGTATACGATAACTTTGAGTAGAGTGTTTCAAACGCTATCTAGTGCAGCAGAACAATATTCCAAACACTGACAAACCGCAGTTAGCATACCTAATGGGGGCGGGATGTCCTAGTAATATAAATGAAAGGAAAATAATGTTGCATAGAATGTGTAATATAAGCAGTTAGCTGAAAATAAATACAATGCTTATGGCTCTTTCAGTTAATTAACAATTAATGAATGAGGCTGAGTATCTTATGAAGAATTATGGAGATCAAGGAGGTTGTTATCCGTTGAGGCCGTAGGCCGAGGCGGATAACACCCTCCGAGATCTCCATAATCCTTCATATGATACAAAAGCCGAATTCAATAACTGTTTTATTATTCATTCAAAATAACTCCTAGTTTAAAAACATAGCTAAAACAAGTTTACCTGCATCGATGTTAAGTTTATCTTCGATAGTTTACGTTTTGGTTTTTCCAGCTCCACAAATATTCTCCAAGTAGCAGATGTCGCCCTCCGAGTTGTCTTCTTGCTGTTTTTGCTTTGTTTTTTGCTATTATTACGCCTAGTTCCAGCTGTAGTTTTTACTCTTGAAACGACTGAAGTGTCCGTCATTTTTTATTTTCACAACCAAAACAACTCAGCCTCATTCCCACGGTGCCTTAACCTGTAAGAACGCTCCACTTTGACGTCATTTCCACGTTAAATTCAAAATTCTTCCAAATTTGGTCATCAGTAACTGGTTATGGTAAATTAAACGTGTGCTTTTAGCCAATCAGAATTGGGGAAATATTTTGAATGAATAATAATTAACAATTATTGGACGAGGTTGAGCAAAATATCGTGATTTGTCTGTGGCGGGCAGATCAATTATTTACCGAAGCCAAAGGCTGAGGCAAATAATTGATCTGCGAGACACTGACAAATCACGATATTTTGCGATAACCGAGTTCAATAATTGTTGTATCATGCGATCACCGAGTTTGTTATTTTAATGGATTTCCTCGGGAAGCGAAGCGATTTGCCATTTTCAAGCAAGAGCGATCGCAAGAACGAGAAAAGCACGGTTTCCTATACGCATGTGCAGAATATTATTTGTAGCCAAACACTTCACCGGCGAAAAATGTCTACGCATGCTCTGCAACAAATGACACGTGATCTATTTCGGGCAATGTCATTGGCTCCCGGGCAGAAATACCCGCGAAATGTTGTTGAGATGAAAGCTTTTTTTGGCAGTGACAGTGTTGCAACTTCTTGCCACTGTAAGAGATCAATAATTATTTTGGTCGAAGTTTTGACGGAAGTGTGTTCTCTAGAGAATATAGCGTCCTGGAGCTGGCGAAATATCGCAGTGGCATGGTCCGATTCAGTGTGGTTGACGTTGAGATCGCTGGTTTGCATGTGGAGAACATGCCGAAAAGGTGGGTAATTTTTACTCTCTTTGTTTACTGCATGTTCCGTGCAACTCGGTACAAAAAGAAATTATAAAGTAGTGGAAGAAAAATTATTGGGCTTTGTTTTGGTATATAAATTAGCTTGTACCGAGTTGCACGGAAGCGACAGTCTCGTTAAATGTGTATCCCGTTTTTGTGTGAAAATTCGACTTTGCGAAAGTTCAATAATCACTGACAGCAGTAATTCACAAACTACACAGCAGCCCATTGCTGTAGGCAATAATTCAAGGAATCGAAACAGTATATTTCATTCTTTTGGGATGTGGAGAGGGGGTGGGGTGTACTGTAGGTTGACTAGGCAGTGGTCATATTTACATCGCTGGTTTTTAAAAAAGTAATTTTTACAAATACATTTTTAATATTACTTTGTTGTCTTTTTTTCTATTACTTGGCATTGCAAAAATATCTGACACCACGATTTAAGTTTCTCTTCATTTCTTTAGCATGGCTGCCAGTGCACCACACACTCCTATCACTTCTTCTGGTGACAATTTTAAATACTGAGGACCCCAACTAGTTTTTTTCTATTTATTTTTATCATTAATTTTTATGATCATTAAGGTAATAAATTATGACGAGCTCATCAGTCAAAAATAATAAGCATCGCATGCTGCGCATGCCAAAATGTTGAAAGCCTTGTCTCATCAGGAGCTAAGAAGGCAATCAAGAAAATAGGTCAAGGAGTGGGGAGGGGAAATAAATTTTGTCCAAGGGGAATTTGCCCATTGATTC